TATTATACCATCAATTTTGTAGTTAGCTCTCATCTACTTTCTAACGTCCAAATTTGAGCTTTGCAAATCCCTCATATGTTATTATCGATATTATCAATATCATTAAAATCATGATGTGTTGAGCTACTGGATTGTAACCGAACGATATGATATGGCATACAATGCACTGTTTGATTAGACATACACTCCATCTGAGTTGTGATTAATTAACCTTCGATTTGATTATCTACAGACAGTAAGTAGCATCTAAGGCTCATTTACTCGAGTGTACTGAATGACTCTTTATCTGCAGTTTCAGTGAGAAGAAAATAAATTCATAGATATCCTTCATGTCACTACCCAGTTTGTAACACAACAGTTGGGCTCAGCAGACCACAAACTACACTGCAATTGCATGAATAAGCCTTATACTATCACTTATACCGGGAGGTCGACGATAAGAATGTTGCACGATCTCTTGCCCTACCAGTATAAGAAGAAACTCGTGATATTTACAAAAACCCTTACCTTTTTACACCGATTGTACCCTTCCTATTCCCAAATAGGCCAATACTGAGGCCCGCATCGAGAACTTCGGTGAGGATCTCGCCGATTCTGTGGTACTTGCTACAGTCATTCGCCAGATCAAAGCGAACCCTGAGCTAGAAAATATCGCGTTCATCGAAAACCTGAACGCACGTGCGCAGGTTATTGCGACCACCGTGAACTCCATGTGTTCGAATGTTGGAGGTTCCACATGGGCGTCTGCTGAGGACATTCAGAACGGAAACCAAGAAAACGTGGAGGCTCTGGTTGCTTCGCTGTTCTATAATTTTCTGTGTAAGTGAAATCTTCCAACATGCCTTTGTAGGTTCTGTTTGTGTTTCTATGCCTAGTATAGGTTCTTACGCGTGTATAAAAGATTGTCGCAGTATGCAGCATGTAAAATATTATAATTTGTCTGACGCTGTTCTGTAAATATTGCCTACGTATCCCAATGTGTCGCACTTAGGAGGCAAAGGAACGATACCGCGAACAAATCATTGAATCATTGCATGTGTGTGTGTTGTATGTAGTACTATACATGCGATCCATATCGAAATATGCTGTTAGAGTATGCGCACATACAGTTGGTTGAAACTTAGATGAATATACTTTATTTTGCTGGTTTTGATGAGAGTGCTGTGCCATTCGTCTAAGATCCTTGTTAAACGCTGTGTATGTACTTTGTGAAACGTATGTAATCTATAGCATGAAAAATAGCATTTTGAAACCCAAGCGAGAGGCTTTAAAATACATTTATCACAAACTGTTGTGTTTAAAAATATTCAATAAGTGTTCTCCGGATGTAGAGTTCCTGTGCATCGATCTGCGGATTTTCATACTTATAATTGTTTACTTATGTTACACTCTGGTTCTTCAATTCACAGCCATCAACATGCCCACTGAGGCAGAGATTGACGAGCTGTACAAGGACATCGATGGCTTCAAGGAGCAGCTACGCAGCTGCCGCGTGTGCCGCGAACAGTATCTTGTGAAGATCAAGTGGTTGGAGAATGATGTGGAATCTCTCAACCGCCGCAAGGAAGAGTTGGAGGCTGGTATCACCGAGAGGGAGGGCGACCACGCAGACACTTCGGCCAGATGTGAGGCTATGGTGACGGAGAAGGAAGGCGAGATGAAACGTATTGCCGAGGCTATCACCATGCTGGAGAACGACCTAACTGTATGAATATATTTTGTTTTTAGCCCTAGCTGTTGAGACATGTTTGTGGTTGATAGAAGGCGTGATATCATTGTTGCTGGTACTTGAATGGTTGTGGTAGTATTAGAGTGCCTTTGATGATTGCGATTATTATGTAAAATACAGTCGATGTTATAGTCATTCCATTGGTTCTTTAAAATACAGTCGATGTTATAGTCATTCCATTGGTTCTTTGAAATACAGGCGATGTTCTTAATCATTCCATTGGTTCTTTAAAATACAGTCGATGTTTTTAATCTTTCCTTTGGTTCTTTGTGGTCATGTCTCATATATGAGCAATATTAATTCATATATGATATGATCCCTGTTGGCGCATAGGTTGTTCGGCAATATATGGGACACAACGCTATGTTATCAAATGTATTAGACATATGTTTCCAATCGTGAGATCCGTTGGTGTGTCTGTCCATAGCACAGATATCCAGCGACAATGGAGCTCGCAGCAACCCAGTGTGCACAACTGCACTACCAAAGATCATACCGATTGATATCTAAACTTCGCTCGCAACCCTGACACACTTTCACACAGAACAAGCTAGAACAGCTTACCACAATCAACAAGGACCAAAAATCCATGGAGGAAAGCAAAGACGCGATCGTCCAAGCCAACAAAAACAGAATATTTGAACTCGAGGGTAAGGTAGCTGCACTCAAGGCTGGTAACACGCACATGAAAGATCTCCTCGATGGGAAGGGCACGAGTGCTGCCGAACTACAGGCAGCCCTTGCGCTCAGCGCCAAAATGAGTGCCGAAAAATCGCGCGTCGTGATGGAGGTAAGCGTGTACATCTGCACTATTCCTAATGAATATACATCTGTTTGATTTACGCTGCCGAAGTATTAGATTAAGTGTTACACTGAGCATGTGCGTATATGTGTATATCTTTTTGTATAAGTAAGCGTGGATCGGCAATCCTCGTTCTGATCATCAAGATGTCGGCCGAGAAATCATGCTTGGTGATCGAGGCAGTGGAGCGTGCGATCACAGCAGTATACATGAACCATCGCTAATAAGATTGCGATACATAAGTGTTCACCACAATTGTATGCCTGTCTATGATAGTGTGTGTGTGTGTGGAGGGGTTGATTCTGCCTATTGCATGTAAGATGCATACATTATATCATATACAGGAAGTTTGTAGATAGCATGTGCTTGTACGGATACGCTGAACAACTGGCAAAGTTGTTAGTGTGTTCGCAGAAGGATTGTCTGAAATCCCATAAAGTCAACACGTGAATAACCGACCGAGAGTGAACCTGAATATGTAGTATCGGGAAGTCTGTTTTCTCACAAAAATGTGTGGTGCGCCTTATTAAAAATTGTGCAGACGACAGACGTGACCGCCAATCGTGACAAAAGCTTCAGAAGCATCTCCTGATAGCTCGTATCTGTGTGTACAACAAAAAATTGTGTTTTCAGAGTTTTCACTTTCGCTTCAAGGGATTCCCAGAAAAAAAAACTTGGAAGATATAACTAACGCTTCAATAGCCATATCGATAGACTCAACGATATAACTTTATATATATATATATATATATATATATATATATGTGTGTGTGTGTGTGTGTGTGTGTGTGTGTTATTATATATATATATATATATATATATATATATATATATAGTGTGTCGTGTGTGTAGTGTGTGTGTAGTGTGTGTGTAGTGTAGTCTACGTAG